GTGATATCGGTACCAATACTGGTCTATTTTGACCCAAACTGAAGAACAATGATTGAAATAGATGCCTCGAAATAACTATACTTAAGCATACTGTTACAATAGTGCGAAGATGGAAAATAGAGGCCAGTGTCTTATCAATCCATGACAATAACTCCAGCGGAATAAAACTATGATGTTACCAACAAAGAACTATTAGCAATAGTTCAAGCACTGAAAGAATGTTGGAGATGTGTTTTGAACAATGACTATTCAGTCAAGGTTCTCACTAATCACAAGAATCTAGTCCTATTCATAACTACGAAGGAATTGATCGATTACTAAATACGATAGATAGAACACTTCAGCAAATACAACTTCAAACTTGAATATCGATCAGGCAAGGAAAGTGAAAAACCAGCTGCTCTTATACAGATTACAAGTGATAAACCACAAATAAAGAACGATGGACGAATAAAACAAAAGATATGACCCTTGTTGCTAAAAACTTACTCTGTGGTAATAGAACTCATCGAACTCACCTGGAATAAAGAAAAAGGAATCAAGAAGGCAAATTAAAAAGATAAAACGATCAAGACAATAAAGGAATCGTTGAAAGAAGGAAAAAAGAAAATGAAGGAGATTACACTAGGTTTATGACAATGAAAGAATGGGAATCTGTAGTATAACGGAAAGCAATAGATTCCAGAAAAAGAAGAGATAAGAACGAGTATTATACAACAATATCATGATGTCCAGATGGTAAGATGTAGAGGAATGGCTAAAACTATGAAATTCATCATGAAGTCATTCTATTGATTAGGATTGCTTGAAGATGTCAAAAGATATGTCAACAAATGAAAACGGCTAAATAGGCATTCTATAGATTACTGAAATCAGATGAAATTCGTGAACAACCTTGGAAAATAATTCCTATGGATTTCATTATGGACCTACCTCCATCAAAATAATATAATAGCATCTTGGTAGTAGTGAATCGTCTGATCAAAATGAGTCATTTTATTCCATTCAAAAGGAATATGAATGCGAGGAATTTTATCTGGACATTTTTCCAAGAGGTCTTCAGACTGCATGGCCTTCCAAAAAATATCATTACCAATTAAGAAACACTATTCATATCAGGGCTATGGAAAATAGTAACTGGAGAAATGTGTATACAGAATCAGCTGAGTACTACATTTCACCTGCAGACCAACAGTAAACAGAATGGGTAAATGCTATACTCGAGTAATACCTATAGGCCTACTTCAATTATCAATAGGATGATTGGTATAAGCCACTATTAATGGCCAAATTCAGATACAACAGCGGAAAATAAGAAGTGATAAGCACCATACCATTCTTTACAAATTACGGACAAAATCTGTAGAGTCAGGCCACAAATCATATGATTAGTAGTATAATAGTAGATAAAACGAATATAGAGAAATTATACAAAATATTATGATATAAAATGAGTCAAGCACAGCAATGGTAAATAGAAAGAACAATACAATAAATATTGAAAGCCCCATCCCAATATACAGTCTGGAGATATGGTGTGGTTGCTACCACGCAATATTCATACAACATACCCATTAAAGAAATCAGACTACAAGAAAATTAGACCATTCCACATCTCACTCCTTGAACTATACAATAACAACAGTTTCCCTCACAAATAATTATTCCTCCTCTTCCAATCAAACTAGATGGACAACCAGAATACGAACTTGACAAAATAATCGATTCCTGCTTCTTCCACCGTCACCTCCAATACAGAGCCAAGTAGACCAGTTATTCACCTGAGTATGATAAAGCTTGGTACTACGCTGCCAACTTCGAAAAAGTACAAGGTGCTCTCTCAACCTTCTACTTATGATACCCAAGCAAGCTCGGCCCAGGTGACGATCACATTCAATGATAAAGGCAAGGAAACCAGTCCTGTGTCCTTCCAACCACACGAAGGCTGGGATGATAGCCCCCAACACATCACACTGACAAGCCCCAAATACTCATTCATGGAGCCAATGGACTAAGAACTCAAGGAATGAGAAGAGAAAGCAAAGAACGTACTGAGTTAGACAGTGTGCTACAACAACTGATGTCCTATACACTATGGAGACAAGTAAAGCTTGAGATAGGTCTCAAGAGAATACCGAAAGCATGGTCTGTACCAAGACTATGCCTTAAAGTACTAGAAACAGTGCTTCAACAACACATGCAAAATGCACAAGACAAAGAAAATTACTGTGAGATATTACCTGCAAAAAGATAGAACAAAGAAAGAGTTAGAAGGAAAGAACACTAGCAGAAGGCATAAGGCCTCGAGGAAGAGGCCCAGGGAGGGGGGAGCCTAAAACTCATCAACAGAAATAGAGTGGTACGTTAAAAGCCTACACAGGCAGATCAGAGGACTCTGTGAACAACTTGGCTAGGCAGAGGCCACAATTTCAGCAAATGAAAAATTGATCACTAAGCTGAGACAGATGAACTACAATCAGCAATACACAATTGAAATAGTGAACCTCATCTTAGAATTGGTGAGGATAAGATGGCAGACAGCTAATGACAAGTTCAATAGACTTCCAAGATCTATGCATACAGCTGGACAGTTACTATTAAAGCTTAAAGAAAAATCCTGATAGGACTCAGGTTTAAGGGGAGAGGAGCTAAAATTACATACGTGGCTTAGCATGGAAAGGGTTTTCACATGACTCATTATTATGAGTCATAGGTATATTATTGTTTCATGCATATGACTTATTCAAGTCATATGACTTGTTATGTTATAATTTGATATGTTTCATACATGACTCAATTATGAGCTATGAGACGTGTACCTGGCGAGTATACCTTACAAGTATACCTTGCGGGTATGCCTTACGCATATGATTTATGTTTTACATATGATGTAGTTATGAGGTCATGAGTTTCACGTATGTGACATCTTTGGGTCATATGACTTGTTTATTGTGTTATGATTGGTTTATGAGTTTTTGCATATGACCTTGCTACGAGGTCACGGGTTTTGCACATGTGACTACTTTGGGTCACAAGACTTGGGGTGGGAAGAGCACTATATAAGGAGACTAGTACGGTTAAGGAGGATAGGCTCTTCCCACTTTGTTCTAAGTACTTTCCCTACTTATTACTTTAATAGATATAAAAATACCTTTACACTCTTTATCATTATTACTACCTTTATTGCTATTACAACTAAGAAACTCTACATAAAGTAGAGTTAGAAAAAGCTATGATAGGTATTATCGATAGAAGACAGCAGTCTTGTACTATCCGTAATGGAGGCATAAGGCCTAGCGCTATCGTACAGCTAAATGAAGAAGTGAAGAAGAAAAGAAGTATTGTTCCTTGTAGCCAAAAACTAACTATCTAAATGGGGATTGTTACATACACCTTTTTGAAGCCTCATTTAATTTGCAACTCTCACCTCCTCTCCAGTAGAGCAGGCTACCTGTCAACTATCTTACCTTAACCTGAAACATGCTTAGCACTTTGCAAATATGTTACACTAATGATAATTGGCTCTAGTATTATTCACCAAGAGTCTTAATACAAAGCAACCCCAATACCTGATAATTACCTTGTTAGTACCTCTATAACTGGATACAATAATGACTACTTAACAATGAAGTCGTTCATATACTTTGAACAATATTCATTACTGAAATGAGCTGACAGTCATAAACTTTTAATTCTTGATGGATTTGGCTCCACTGTACATAGGAGTTTCTGGATTATTGTAACAAGCACCAAATTGTAGTATTTTGTCTTCTTACACATACCAGTCACCTCCTTCAACTTTTGAATGTTGTTGTTTTCTCACAGTTTAAGCATTACTACTCAGAAAGTGTTGAAGCTACTACATGTACTCATTGTTATGACCTCAATAAAGTTAAGTTTCTAGATAGAATTGATTCAATTCGTCAATAAACATTTAAGCTATTAACAATTTGATCTGCATTCTGAGCTATGAGATTAATACCATATAATTCCAATATTGTTACATTCTAGTTACGAGAGTCTGTTGTTCCTACAACTTTAAGTTTGCAAGAAACTCAACCTTCAGAATCACTATCAACAATTCCACTTATAATTCCAATCCTAAAAAGACAAGCTGAAGACCTATTAGAGAATGCTGCTGATTTATTACCAAGCTTTCAAAACCATCTAAAGTGAGTACTTCAAGGTGGTTTAATTCAGGTACAGTCTAGTGTATTAGCTATAGAGCAATTGAAACATACTTGTACTGTTAAACAAGCCAGTGCTGTAAAGAGAAAAGCAAGTAGTAGAAGACAATTACGAAGAGGAGGCGTTTCATATGCTGGTGATGCAAGGGAGATATCATAGTAAAGAGGAGGGAGGATGAGGAGTTGGAGAAAGCAGAGAAACAATTACCAAGAGCTCAAAATGCAATGAAAGAGGCCAACTAAGCTTCCAGGAAGCCTTTCCTGGATAAAATAAAAGCTAGTGCAAAAGCAAGGCAGGTTATGAAAGCTTATAAGAGCAAAATATGTAAGAGAATAGTAATTTCTATTAAGAAACAAATAAAATGTGGTAAAATAACAGTATATTAGATAATAAAATACAGCATTTGTTGTGCTATAAGGTTATATTGAACCTCAATATACAATACAGCCACAAAGTGATATTGTGGCTCCATCCTCTGTTAAGCCACAAAGTTGTGTTGAGCTGTCAAGTGGTGTTGAGTTGTCGGGCACTCAGTGGAGTGCCCCCAAAAGTGAACAAGTGAACTTGGGGGGGGGGGGTTGTGGCTGTCCAGCCACAACCATGGCATGAGTATTGACGCAAGCTACGGGGGAGCGCTTTGAAGCATCTAATATAGCTCGGTGAATATTAAAGACAGGCGGGAAGGTGCTTATTCCCATCACTTCCTTTATTCCATCCCCGCTCCTCTTCCCCTCCTCCCTTCCACCTCCCCACTTCCCATCCCCACCCCCAATTCCAATTCTTAACCAAATAGCAATCCAAGCTCCACCACAATGCCTCCAAAAACAATCCTCATCAATATTGAAGGTCCCCCCCGCCTCCACCCCCCCCCCAAAAAAAAAAAATTCAGCCAGTTAACAAACCTAGGAACCATCTGTCCAATAACCTTCGTAAAAGAGATCCTATTCCCCTACGCCCTTGCCGCCCTCCCGGGCTACCTCTCGAAAAACTGGACCACGACAAACCCCCTGATAGCTGCTTTCCCCATAGCCAACACCACGACCCCCGCAGCCCTCATCAATTATGTACAAGCACAGACAATCCAGGATTCCAAATCCCCCGCTTTAAAGGCCCTCCAGGGCCACCTCTGGCGGGCCGGGTACGAGTCCGGAGAACTCGTCGCCCCGATTTACCCCGATGTGCTCCCGGCTGTACGCGCATGGCGCTCGCAGACTCCCCGTGCTGTGAGGGTGTACGTGTATTCCAGCGGGAGTGTTAGGGCCCAAGAGTTGTTTTTTCACTACTCGTGCGAGGGGGATGTTAGGGGGTTATTCGATGGGTTTTTCGATACGAGGGTTGGCGCGAAGGTTGAGGCGGAGAGTTATCGGAAGATTCTGAGAGAGTGTGAAGAGGGGGGGGAGGGGGAGGGCTGGGTCTTTTTGAGTGATCATGTTGGGGAGGTTAGGGCTGCTATGGAGGCTGGGATGATTGGTGGGGTTGTCGTGCGTGAGGGGAATGCGCCACTTAGTGAGGAGGATAAGGTGGGAATGTGGGTTATTGGGGGAGGATTTACAGAGGTTACGGAAAAGTTGTTTGCTGAATAGGTGGAGTCGGTGGGGTATATTTCCCTTCCCACAGGGTGGTAGTGATGCGCTATCAATTGCGAGTGGCAGTGTTACCGAGTGACTCTACGTGAACAACTACTCCACTCCCACCAACCGCCTAAGGTTCCAACCCATCGGATCTAAAAGAGACCCAAAGGTTTTTATTTTGTGCTCACTTTCGATAAAGAACGCAGTGCCGGACCCAACAAACCAACCGGCCAATTCTCAACACCAAGGAAAAAAGTAGTGCATAGTGTTCTAAAACAAACATTTTCGTCCCCATCCAGAGCTCCAATTCAGCACACCTCCAGTCTCCACCAATTCGGCATTAAAATAGCATTTACCTGTTCAATTCTGTGCCTTTTTTAATGTCTGCTCGGCACCCGTTAGTTCATTGAATCTCGTAAACATAGCAGGAGGGACAGTAAGGTGAACTCACCACTTGAGTGTGAATTCACTTAATCGACCGAAGCCATCAAACCAGTCCTCTGCCACGACACGCCATCCACCCCCCCCCCCCACCAGTGGCAACACAGTCACCGCGAGAGCGGTGACAATGCAGCCGTTCGCGGGACGCCCTCAGACCAGTGCCTGGAGATACATCCTCGCGCTTATTTGCGAGGGAACAAAACCATCAATCTACCCCTTATCAGCCACTGCAGCTTGTAACAAGTTGTGTGTGTCAGGAGGGGATATGCTAACCATCGTAGTATTCGTCCTCGTCATCAATATCAGCAAGTTGTTCAAAGTTGACCTTGTACCTAAGCATTGCGCCAATGCCACCAAAGCCCTTGACAAACTGATTGCCTTCTCCGGACCTGTCGGATACGAATTCGAGATTTGCACCAAAATCCTTGTACTTCTCCGCTAGCCATTCCAGGAAGGAGATTTGTTCCACGATTTCCATCTCTTGGCCCGAACCCTTGTCCATGAACTGTTGCCGGTTCTGTTCCTGAAGCTTGGTGGTGTGAATAATTACCGGGGCTCCACTGGAGGGCTTGAGGGTCCAGCGAGTTATGTCAAGATTCTCGAACACGATGAGAGCTAGAGTAAGGAAGGAAATGTTAGCCTTTGCTCTGTTCCTTTTGACCCCGAGGGAGCGGCTTAGGCTGGGCGGGGTATTGTGCACTTACTCTCGCAAGCACCGAGCTCTAATGCCTTCAAGGTATCGTCGACACCATAGCAGATCCTCCCGCTATCCTGAGAGATCTCGTCAAAGTACCTGCCAATCAACTTCTTCTCCTGAATAAATTTGACATTGCTGAGCGTCTCGGATGCCAGCTCGATAGCCTGATTAAACCCATTTTCCCCACCATACGAAACGTCAACAACCTTGATGATCTTGGTCTGCAACCTCTGATCGAACAGCTCACTCTGGGCAAGCTCGGACTTGAAATCTGCCGACCCAGCAAGAATCAAGCCGGAAACGTTAACCTTGTCAGCGGTGATGAAGTTCTGCACGGCCAACTCGGCTACTTTCCGAACGTAGTTGTGTCGTTTCTCTTCCCTGAGACGGGCAAAACGAAGTGCAGATTGACCACCACGGCCGTGCTTCTTCGGGAGATCGACAGAGAACTTGTGAACAATGTCCCGCGTGTTACCGCTAAGAGTTCCGAAAAGAGCACCATTACCGTCCATCACGATGAAACCGAACTTGCTGTCGGATTCAAGGAGCTCCGACAGAGCTTCGGTGTGGAACTTGTTGTCGCAGAGATACAGTGAGGTGTTGATTGGCTTGAAAGGTTCGAAATCTATGTTAATCTTGCGCTCCTTGCCCTCACTCGTGATTATTTCGCCACAGTAGACCACCAGTCCGTTCGGTGGGACCCTGGGGTACAACTTCAAACGTTGCTGGGTCGAGGTGATGGCGGACAAGACGGAAAGACGATTGACTCTGGATTTGATATTAGAGGCGGTGCCCTACGGAGTAAAAAGAAAAAGAGCAAATTAGCGCCTGTGTCTGGGGCAGACCCTGCAAAGTTCCAAACAATGTTTGTAAGGGAAAAATATGAGGTTGTACTAACATATTCTTCAGCCAACATCTTTGCAGCCCGAGAAATCTGATCCTTCGGCGGAATGATGAGGGAAATCATGCTTGTACCATTGCCCCTCGCCTCGGTAAGGCGCTTAATGAGCTTCTTAACCTATTCGTCCAATCAAAGTGCCTTAGCCTGAGGAAAAGTTCTCGGGAAAAAAAGGGAAAAAAACTGTTTCCCCTCTGTCCCCTTCTTCTTACCACGTTCAGCAGAAAAGAAAAGAAAAGAACTGCCATACATACCTTCCAGATCTCAATGTTCTTCTCGGCATCGTTTGCCTGAGCTTGTGACATTTCGAAGTAAATTCGCGAAGCCAAGCAAGGGGAAAAGGGGGGAAAGTATAAAAAAAATTCGTACTCCAAACAAGCCAAGTGATTTGTTTGGAACTTTTTTTTTTGGAGCGACGAAGGGAGTGAGTGGATGGGGGGTTGATATAGTTTGTAAAAGTGAGAGAGCAAGAGAGAACTGTGGAAGTGAGTGGGAGGGGTATTGGTGGGAGACTGCGTAAAGTTGGGTCTTCTCTTGGCAGACAGAAGGGCCGAAAGACAGTGGGAAAAGGTTCTCTTTGAGCCGAAGACAAATGATTGTTAGCAATACGATATAACATCATAACTGCCGGTGCATACCTTGCTGTACGGTGCTGTACGAGTACTCCACGTACCGTACCGTACTAGTACAGTAACTTGCTGCGCTGTGCTCGTAATACTCGTACAGGTACAGTGCTCGAGTACTGATTCAATGAGGGAGGGCTACCGGTATTCCACCGGGCCGGAGCTTTTTTTACACAGAGCAATTTCAGCTGGGCCTTGGGAATGCTCAGCGTGTTTGAGGAGCCTTCTCGTGGTGATGGCTTCATGGCCTTAACGATCGCTACAGTGTCAGTATTGGATTGCAGAACTCGTACTCGAGTACACATTCTCCCACCAACTCCCTGTGCTCATAGCATTGCTCACAAATCTACGCTAACAATATGTCGCATTACTGTACTCGTACTCGAGTAAGCATACACCCAGAGTCAAGTTGCTGACAACCAATGCTCTGTCTCGGTCAGGTTTAACTCCTCCTTACCCGATGTAGCAAAGAGAAAGAGGAGCTCTCCCCCCTTTTCTCTTCCATCCATTCCTCCATCCGCGCAAGGCTCCAAACTGCCCTCTCCCTCGTTCCCGACAAGCTCCTGCTTTCCTCCCACAACACAAAGGAAGAATGCGACGGGATCTTGACAGGTTTGAACGAGATCTACAGGGTTAACCCTACTCGTACCGCCGCCCAAACGAATGACTTTTATGTGACTAAAATTTAATGATGACACGGTAATGATGATGGTGGCGGGGAGGGGTGAGCGTGAGTGTGAGTGAGGCTTAAAATGAGCCCTCACTCCTTCAGGGGAAGGAGGGAAGCTACACCTTGCAGTCGTATTATTATAGAGAGAGAGAGAGAAACGGAAAGCCTGTATGATATTATCATAGAAGCTTGAATAATTGAACCGTGTGCTTGCTCCCTAATCAAATCATTTTCCCACATCCCATCTATCGTAATCATGATAAAATTTCTCAAGTTTGAAGCATTTCAGGGAAAGTCAGATATAGTCTATCTAAGGCCCTGTTTGGTAAGCAAGAAAAATTGAGATTTTTTCACAAAAAACCCCCTATCATAGTATTTCGAGAAGTTAAATATTTTTATAACATGTTGTGTATATATAATATTATCCCACCAATGGTGCATATCAAAACATGAGAATTTTTGCTTTTCTAGACCCCCATTTCATACGAAAAAAAACATATGGTCTATGATACCGGTATGTATGAGCCTGGTGAGGTTTGAGAGGAATACCCTATCATAGGTCAGCTACAGGGCACATGGAAAATACTAACTAAGCGGATATCATAAGATTTTATCATAGAAAATAAAAATCTATAGCGTTGCCAAACACCAGTTTTTATAGAAAAATGCCATTTATCATACTTTTTTTTTTCAGAATAATAATATATTGCATTTTTCAACTTTCGTTGCAAATACTTCTAAATCAACGGGGCCTAAATAGTGGTGAAAAAAAGAAAATAGTATTACTGTAAAGTGGCAATTCTCCTGGCAAGCCATGCAGGGCTCCCCCATCTTATCTTTCTATCGTGTGAACTAGGGGCCCAGTTAACTTCTTGCAGGAATAACATGGCCCCGCTAAAGCAGCATAATTCTCAACGCTTTCATTTTTTATTGCCCTAATTCCTTGCATGGGTTTAGGTTAATGGTCCTCATCCTTACTCTGCTCGGTTTTCTAACTGCTGTCATACGATAGTATGTATGATATGATAAGGTCCGGAACCTGGAATGCTCGAGTGCCCGATGTTTCTCTTGGCATAGTTGTATCGAAGTTTGCACGAGAAAGCAAAATCTCTCTACTAACCTTAACTGCTCCGCTCGCACATACCTCCGCCCACAGTGGACCCATAAAGTCTCCCTCCTCCTCCTCCCTCTTCCTCTACTCCTGTTGGTATTCCGTATTCAGGGGCTTGTGTATCGATTATTTGAGTTATGGTTGCTTCTACCGCTTCGGATACCACTGGTATACCGGTGTCTCAATATCAAACTTCTTCAATCGAAGCAAACATGGCTTCTACCTCGCCGCTCCCTTCTGTGGCATACCTTGGACCCAGAAGTTCATATTCTCACCAGGTAAGTTCCTGTTTGCTTCGCATCTACTCTTTTAAAAAGCAATGAAACCAGAATTAACTGGCGAGCCAGGCAGCGTTAGAATGCTTCGACCCAGCAAAATATACCTTTGAACCTCGGGCCGCAATCGCCGGTAACCACCCCCCTCATCCCTCCCTCCCTTCATCCCACACCCCATCCCCTCCCCTACATCGAAGCTAACAATCGACCAACCGACCGGCCCCACAGACGTCTTCACAGCCGTCCAAGCCGGCGCAGTAGCTTACGGCGTAGTCCCCTTCGAAAACTCGACAAACGGGAACGTAGTCTTCACCCTAGACCTCTTCTGCGACCGCACTCGCTCCTTCCGCGACACCTTCGTTTGCGGCGAGACATACCTCGACGTGCACCACTGTCTCCTCTCGAGCGCTGCATCGCTCTCCAGCGTGGCCAGGATCTACTCGCACCCGCAGGCCTTTGGACAGTGCGAGAACTGGCTCAGCGCAAACGCGCGCGGCGTCGAGCGTATCGACGTCTCGTCCACCTCGAAGGCCGCGCAGATCGTTGCGGGGGATGCGGGTGCCGCCGCTATCGCGAGTAGGGTCGCCGCCGACGTGCACGGGCTCAGGGTCCTCGCGGGGAATATCGAGGACTCGGCGGATAATACTACTAGGTTTTTCGTGCTGGTTGCGCAACCGGCATTGAGGGCTCCGGTCTCCAAAGGGCATGGGGAGACGGATAAGACGCTTTTGTCGTTCACCGTTGATCACGAGATTCCCGGGGCGCTTTGCGATAGTTTGAAGGTCTTCAAGGATTTTGGGCTTAATCTTACGAGCATTGCGAGTAGACCCAGCAGGCTCCTGCCCTGGAATTACGTGTTTTTCGTCGAGTTCGTAGGGCACAGCGATGCTCAGCATGTCCAGGCTGCCTTGGACGAGCTTAAGAAGTACTGTTTGAACTTGAGGATCCTAGGGAGCTATAGGGATGAGCAGCGTAGGAGGGGACAGGGTTATCGCGATAGCGAGAGGAGGGTGGCGGGGAACGGAAAGGCGTCTTAGTAGGGGCAGGAGACGCAGAGGGGGAACTGGAAAAACTGGCAACGTGTAATAGTGCTAGTCAGAACGCTCAACCCATACCTAGACACATTTCATTCATAGATAATTCCTGAGTGATGGCATCAGGTATCCTCTCCAACAGGTATTACGGACATTCCTAGGTAATTTATGGATAGAAATGTAAACCCTTTCGAACCCCCCCCCCCCCTTTTTTTTTTGTAGCGCAGAGCGAGTAAAGCAAAAGGATATCCTGTCAAAACACTTTTCACAATCGTAAAATAAGTGACCAGGACTTAGAAACAGAAGGCCAAATGAACAACACAACGGTCAGAACTGCCCCTCCCAGAAATACATAGCAGATACTGAGCTTCTGCACCCGTTTTTATTCGTACCTGGAATGTAGATCACCGCTCTAATTGTAGAATGCGTGAGCCAGTATTACACAACAATTTCCCAGCTGGCCATCAATAACGCCGCAAAAACAAAAAAAAACATGAGATAAGAAACGACATTGATCGGTAAAAGAAGGAGAGCAGCCACTATTTTCCGTACTTCTGGAACTCCCAATCTCGGTTATCGAGAGGGCAGACTTGGCGGGTTTTTAGCCAACGCGAGATACAATGGAAGTGAAAGGCATGCTAGGGTTGAAATTAGCGTTGGCTCAACACCTGACTGAACCTGCTTGAAGAGGGAGGAAACTCACGTTGCAGATACCCCAGGCAACAGTACATTCTTCACTCACTGCGCTAGCCTGATTTGCCTGGCATTCGATGCCTATCCAAAGTAATATTGTCAGCCCTAGCCCCACCGATGGTAAAAATGAGGAAGAGAATATATGTGAGGAAAAAGGCCATTCGCACAGAGATCCATAATGTGGTTACGGCAGATGGCACAGTTTTCGACAACGATATCCCAAGACCATAGTGCTACTGCATTCCACTTTATCATCCATAGCATGTCAGCGTCCAAGCTCCTAATCGATATACTTGATCACCAGCTCTCCATGTCTGAGTTTGATCGCAAATTTCTCTCGGGTAAACATGGAGGAAAACATACTTTCTTGACCTCGAATCTGGGCTTCTTGGTAGGCTCGGATGATTCTCCTTTGGAGATGACCTTAGCATCCTTCATGTCGACATCGGCCATTTTATTTCTTTATTTGCCCGTGAAGTCTAGTTATTGGTGGTATATGGGTAATGTAGAGTGAAGCTTTGTTTTGAAGTACTGACGGATCTCGTGATGGCGGCGGGGCAGGCAGGAGTTGTGGAGAGTTGAGTTGGGTAGTTGGAGCTGGGTGGGTAACTTAACGGTAGTCGCAGTCTTAGAGTGTCAGTGCAAGGGTGCGCTCAAACTTCTTCCCACAAAGGCTTTGTTGGAAGGGGTTATGTTACACATCAAGACAAGGATACTCGAATAATTTAGAAGTGATAAATTACCGGTACCGTACTCGAGTATCATACCGGTAGACCATCGTCGTTGACTGGCTGATTGATTGATTAGATAAGATAAGTTGACAAAACCACTTTTATCTCACTTGATTTTGAGGCCCTAAAAAGGTGTGGTATCATATCCTAACTGAACAGTGCGTCAGGTATCATAGGCGATCCCCAGTAAAAGGTGAGTTGTTCAGCCTCTCTGGAAGACCAAAAAAGAAAGAAACAGTACCAGATCTTACCTGAGGAGGCAACTCGAACGATATAGCACACCACTCGATAACCTGGGATTCTACAGTGATCCAACGCGTCTTCCCTTCAAACCCCGCCGTCTCCAAACCCAAGCAGCAATTAAACGACGATGGAATCACCCTGGGACGAACGAGAACATAGATACCGTCCTGCTCGTCAGTTACCCTACACCCTGAACGAGCGAGCCAGGGTTAGTATCGAAGAAACTCTTTGTATGTATCAACTCATCTAGCGGAGGTTTGATACATCATCTACTAATAATTTATGGTCATAGATCCGTCTGCTGTTGAGTTTCTAAATAGTATATCTATCCCTGGGACCTCCACACCCTCGGAAGCACCCCATCCGGCTTTTATCCCCCCCAGCACCTTCCAGCGTTGCATAACTACCCTCATTGCGCATCCGTACTACACTACTCAAGTGTCGAAGAACGAGCCCTACTCGGCCGCTCCTGGAAATGCTTACTTGCTGCTCCGCCGCATGCTGAGGTTGGTTGGACCGCTCAATGCTGAGTTCTCCAAAGCATGGGAATTTAAGAAGAGCGCTCGCGCTGGCCGTCAGGTTATTAGAGGTAAAACGAGGGGTAGGGGCAGTAAAGGCAAGGAACTAGATCCTATTGATGCATTCTCCACGGATGATGATTTGAATGGAGACTTTGCTACGACAGAGTCACTTTTCAACGTCGCGGACGACTTTTGGTCAATTGCTGGCTGGGCTTTCACCTGTTCGGTGTCTCACCCTAAGCGCTGGGAGTGGTGGAAGCTAGTGCTCGACTTGATGATGGATGTTATGGAGCAGGATTGGGAGGACCGTTTGGAAACTAAAGAGGCTACTAGGGATAAGAGTGCGCTCGATGAGGCGCTGTTCGTAAAGCTCTTGCCTCGAGATACGGGTAGTGTTGGGTGCAAAAAGATCGTTAGGGCAATCATGACATGTGCTGAGGAGAAGAGCTTCAATGAGTGGAAGGAAATCTGGGAGAATGAGCTATCCACCAAAAGGCCAAGGAAGATTAGAATAGGAACTCAGGATACCGCGTTCATGGACGATGACGACGAGGAGGATGACGTAGAGGAGAAGGGTGTGAAAGGAGGAGTGGACGGTGACGGCGACACAGAAATGCAGGACGCTCACACTTCCAATGAAGTGGACGGTCTTCCCTCTGTATCAGAAGCATACGGCGGCATGGAGTCTGTAGACCTCCGCCAACGACTACTATCCATGGTAAGCCCCCCCCCTAACCTCGCCAACACATCTAACGACAACTAGCTTTCCACAGTCTGTATCGCAGGCTGCTACGTTCCGACGGAAGACCTCTTCTATGAATTCACAGAAACCTTCATCCGCCTTCCCCTTCCGCACTTCCACCTCTTCACTTCCACCATGCTGGACACTACCACAGAATACAAGTGCACCCTGAACCAACTAATCCTCAGCATGATAATTTCAACAAAAGCCCCAGTCTACAGCGGCCGGTTAACCGCCACCGCCCTTATCAACAACTATCTCCCATTCGAAGCAAAGACAACTCAGCTAGCTGACAACACTAGAGTGGCGATCCTACTAGAAAGCCTAACCCGCCTCCTCATTAATGCTAAACTCCTCGAGTACTCAGAGAGCTTGCAGACTGCGGTGGTCAGGGGTATTAGGGCGCGCGCGTCCAAGGTTCCCAAGTCATTTCCTAAGCCGGGCACACAAAAATATCTCCTGGATCGTGAGATTAGGGGCATCTGGAGCGCGGCGGAAACAAGGTTGAAAGGTCTCGCAGGGATTTTACAGCTACGGAAGGAGGAGGGAGCTCAGGGTTCTAGTCTGGAAAGTTGAATCGGGGGGGGGGGGTGGATGTGTAAATATTATCCTCTCGCTCTTTCTATTTCATTCTATTATTAATTTTTATTTTATTTTACCTTTTCAGTTTTGGCAGATTTGGTTATGTTTATGCAAGTATGTCGGCACTAGGTACACATAACTTTCTTTTTTCTTACGAGGTGGTGCGGTTTACTGGGTTTTATCTGGGTGCGGGGAAAAGGGGCGTTTTCGGATGACGCCGATACCGAATGTCGCTCGCGCA